CGCGGCGGTCGCCGCGGCTGCCGCGGCAGTTCCGACGCCCTTGGTTAGGGGTAGGGTTAGGGTTAGGGTCACAATGCAGTGAATGCACCATAAAACAGGAGTTTGAGGCACGTGATTTGTATCAACCAATGGCAGCGCTCGTTAGAGCCCTATGTTCTTGATTGACCTAGGAAAAAAATACACGCGCCCCGCCATGATCAATGTCGCCATGTTTGATCAATGCCGCCATGATCAATGTCGCCATGTTTGATCGACACAACAGTCCGCGAGGCGTGATTTTTTTCCTAGGATAATCAAGAACATAGGGCTCTAGTGAGCGCTGCCATTGGTTGAGCTTGTTTCGTCGCTCAATGACGTCACAGTGTCGTCATATTCATAGCACATCCATAATCAATGATTCCAATACTCCGGAATAGCCGAACGCGTACAGAACACGCGTCACGGCTGAAAGGTCGTTTGATCGAATCCCATCTGTTTTTTAATTATTTTCTTGTTTTCTGTATTTTTCTATCTTCATCCATTTAACAATTTTTTTCCAATTTATGCAAATATTTACATGATTTATTTCCAACAATTTAATAACAACAATTAATTTTTACAACAATTAAAATTTTTATTTTTTAATATATTTGTTTAAATAGGGTTAGGGTTAGGGTTAGGGTTAGGGTTAGGGTCACAATGCACCATAAAACAGGAGTTTGAGGCACGTGATTTTTATCAACCAATGGCAGCGCTCACTAGAGCCCTATGTTCTTGATTATCCTAGGAAAAAAAATCACGCGTCCGCGAGGGCGATGCTCCCAATATATTCAACGTCCAAACATCGCCGCTTATATTAAGCCGCTTGACCGCCGAGCGAAAACATTAGATGCTTTTGACATCGAAGGGGAGGCGTGGAGGACGGTAGGTTTCCCCCGGGCGCCTGTCTATCTAATACATCTACTATCTTTATATAATCTATATCTTCTACATATATATCTACTATCCTTACGCGTGTAGGGGTCCTGACGTCAGGCGCTTGCCTCGCAACGCCCTCTGGTGATCAGGGGTTTTACCGAATAAGTAATTTAAATTTTTAATTGTTGTAGCGCGCGTACGAAATATTTTTACCAAAGCAGGTGTTAAAGGCATGCTGTGTCGTACCATGCCATGACGCGAGATCACGCCCTATCACATCGTGTCAATATCATGACACGTTGCGTTATGCTATGCGTCATGCCCTGCTATGCCACGACACGAGACATGCAGCCACGACACCGCGTAGCACCACAACATGTCGCGTTGCGCTAAGCCGCGACGCGACACCATGCTCTGTCACCTCGTGTCACCCGGCTTCGTCCTATCACAAATCAACAATGACCTCCACCTCCCCCCGACTCCCTCCCTCCTGAGATGTCACCGGAGTGCACGAACTCCCGTGACGCTCCCTTCAAACAGATCGCCTATCCACAAATGAGGGCTATTGCTCGCACTGCAGATATCGCATCTGTCTGTTCGCAGGCTTCGCCGCGGCTGCATCATAAGTCGATGTCAGGAAATGAAATCGTGACGCATAAGCGCAGACGGCGGTCGACGAAATCGAGACGTCGGCAGCTATCGCGGCCAGCAATCACGTCATGACGGAGGTTTCGCTCACTGTCTGCATTCACGCGACGACGCAGGGACGTCGGCATGCCATCGGTCGCGCGCGCGTGTGTGTCACCAGGGTCCCCGTATCGCGACACGTGTCATACCCAGTGTGGTTTTACTCTCACCGTTGCGCAGGCCCCCGTTCACTCTTACGTGGGTCTATGTACGACCCCCCCCCCCTCCGCCCCACTGCGTGGGTTCTCGTTCTCGTAATAAATTATCTATATATTATCTATCTGTTATCTATATAAATCTAGTATTATTCATTCCTGGCATGGTAATATCAAGAGTGAATAATAATAGATTATAGATAATTGATAATAGATCTATTATTATTCACTGATAATATCAAGATGTTTAATAATTTCTATTAAAAAACTACTCCCCGCCTCACGTTTTGGTATAATAGTGAATCGAATAATGTTCCCTGCATGAAATCTAGGGTGTGTATCAGTATGTAAAGATTCACAGAGAAATAAATGAAGTGCAAATACTAATAATAATTACAATGAGCTACTGTTAGCAGAAAATACGTGGGTACTATGTTAGATAGATGGTGTACCATTAACCTTTAAATCAAATGCCAGTCCCATTTCCATAAATAGACCAGACAGGAAACATCTTGCAACTGTACAAGCTATATGCATCACATCAAGAGCTAATAACACCTAGAGTGTACAACGGAAAAACGGGAAAATAGTGCTATTTCACGGCAATTTTATTCTACTTTGCCTGCGAGTCTAGAATAATTTTATGGTATTGCATTAAGCAAAATTCTTTGCTCTCTAAAACAAGACCATCCGCTTGTCAATACGATACTCTTAGGCTGAGATATTAGCTCGTAAACTTCCCCTCCCACAGGCCTCACGGCGCCTCGCATCCACAATATTCACTATCCTTCTCGCCTTTTGTATTATTAGCTCTTGATCACATGCCCTTTTTCACCACCACTCGAATGTATCTGTAAAACGTTCAGAGACCGATATTGACAGTCCCACATGAAAGTATGTGATTTATAGTGAGTTGACACTGATCATTTTGTTTCCTACTATCAAGAACCAATCAGATCTAAACCTTTGCTTAGCACTGTAGCGTAGGCTTTGCAGACAATGGAGGGCTATAGCCATGTTTAAACGCCATCTCCGGACTAAAATGTCATTAGACAAAACCATATATGAAACCAAAAATAACTCGTTAATGATACATCTAAACAAATGAAAGGCAATGACCTCATTCATAACAGTGTACAGATCTTATTTATTAATCGGTGATAGTAATGCGTACGTTTTCAAAATAACTGTTACCGGCATAAATTGTGAATAGCAGGCGTGGTCTTCTCCAGAATAACTCAATCATATCATGTATTGAGAAACACAATGACTAGCATCTAAACTCTGACCACCTGAAATATGTTACAACACCAATCCTTTGTAATAAATATGCACAATAAAAACAACCACATCTATTACAGCAGCGGGAAATTCTCGTGTGAATACGTTAAGTTCTAGCACAGCTAATTGTAAAAGTTTGTAACTAATTCCAACAGTATAGAGTATAGATTACGTGAACTGCTGTTCCGACATGACAGTTCAGAATGGCCATACAGACATGAAACCAACGGGTATGTGTCTATTGCACCAACTATGCAAAACAAAAATCAATAGATACTGTCATGACAAATAGATGATCAACAGATAAACTACACACGATAGTGATTGTCCGTTTCCGCTGGGGCACACACATCTCTGATAAGTCAACTAGGTTTTCATGAGAACTACAGCAACTTTCTTAGATGTGGCACGACACCAAGACAGCAAGATGGGTGACCGACCACTGAACTACTGAATATACTGGCTGATATTAACTATGCATAGACAGATGCGGGAATTTCTACTTTGCCTGCCCTCGAAGTGGAAACTATCTACCATCACATGTCAGTAAGATTCGCCACGGCGCCACCAGGTACGTACACGGGCGGTCCAGCGCCACCTAGCTTAGCTGGAAGGAACAATGGTGGCCGCAAACACTGCTAGGATGAGCGCGAGACCCATGGCAACATATCCGCTCCTGTTGATGTCCTTCATTGCGAATCCCTTTCCGAAATCCCATGCCTAAAAACAAACACGAGAGAATAATAACAAAGTGCATGGCTTCAATTCCTAGATGAAAATAGGGAGAAAGAATACATGACCTACTCGAGTGCTGGAAATTCACTAGGAAATCATACACGATATAAAGACCATCCGCGTACAGCCAATACAATACTAAATTCCAACACAGCATTACGTAGTGTAAGCTTTAAATGCCGTATCGTCATCGAGGGAACAAACTGTTCACTAAAACGCAATGTGTAACTGATGTTTGCTCTTGGATGACTCACAGAATGTTACTGCACAACACCAATGGCAGTTAAACACAAGCAAATCGACAAAGGTCCCACTGCTCTCTCACAATAGTATTACCACCTTCAGTCAAATGCTGCTACAACAGTTTACTCGCGCTACATTTTACTCGTGCTGCTACACGTCTATCCCATGCGTGCTGGCGGGCCTACTGTGTGACGCGGAACCCACTTACAATGTGCCGAATGCCGTTGAGGAGATGGTAGAAGACGGTGAACGCGGCCCCGACCTTCGCTGGATAGATGATGGCAGGTATGGCGATCGGCCAAGTCTTGATGGCTGCTATCCACGCGGGATAAGAAGCGGGTACTATCAGGGTGGCAGCAGCAATCGCTGCCAGACCTGCGTTGAGGAAGGCAACAGCAAGCGTTAACACACATATATGTGACCTGTCACATCAAAACAGGTCTCAAGTCACATTTTGGCTGATTACGTTTTCAGATTCCTGACTCCATAAGCTTAATTTTGATACCTCATTCATCGCTGTATAATGTTTAGGTCTAGAGATATGGCTGGATTTGTCCGGACAAATTGGACGATTTCTGAGGCGTAGAATTTGAGAAAAATGAGTTTAAAAGTGAACAACAAGTTAAGCCAAGCAGATGGTAGTGTTCATGAAAGTGCTCTAAAACACATTTTAGGATTATTATTTATTAATTTCGCCACTGGATCAAAGAGATAAGGTATTTATAAACCCATTTTGGACAAAATCTCAATAGCTAGAGCAGTTTATTTGCAATGGACACTCCATAAATTTACACACATATAATTATTTATATAACATAATATTCACATATATAGATGCACAAGGATGCATTCGCACATGCGTAAACCTTACATCTTACTATATATTCGACGGCTATTCGTATTCTGATTAACTAAATGCCGTGGACACATTTCGGTCACATTTGCGCAGGCTTCGCCATCTGAGAAAACCATGGGGCCTAAAAAAGACCCCGTCATTTACTCGATGGGGCTGATTTTTTTTTCTAGACGGGGCTGATTTTCTTAAACTGATGAATTACGTAATAAAAGCTTTGTTACATTCATATGTATTGTTACTATGCTTATTCCATACTACTTGGTATATGAACTTATAGCAACCAGTGTTCTGTCTCGATTCGACTTTCGTTTTCGATTTTCGGAATCTCAAAATTTGACGGGCCGGAAAAAAAGCCCCGTGGACACCGGAGACGGGGCTGTTTACAGGGCTTGGGCCGATCGGCCCCCGTGAAAAACCGAAGCCTGATTGCAGACCTTACACGGCCTAGGCTGAAACGTACCAGTGTACATGATGAATCCGGTAAGCCGATGAGTACCCGAGAGTAGTGTGTGCCAGTCGATCTTGTAGATGGTTAAATGGGGAGCCACCGGTCTCCCAAGCTCCTTGTTCTTTTCCCAGTATGCCTTCGCCTGCTCCGATGGCGAGGTCGCCATTGGCGCCGCGCTAAAACACAAGAATATCTTTAGAGGGCACGACGAGTTGCACTATTAACCCAGCAGAACAACAGGCCAAGATGAGACTTTTCTGTCACTGTGATCTACACCTTGCACCAGGTGACTAGGACACTTTCTAACACAGTGCATTTATAGAAAATTGCACGACACGAGTACGTGAAATTGGTTCACAAATGAGCTTACCTTTGGAACTCGCACAGCGATTAAAACTGTTCATTTTTACATGCGCTATCTCCAACGGATCTCTTTAAGTTTAGCTTCCTTGTTTCTGTCATTCCGTGTTGCAATTATCTCCCTTCCTCTTTAGTAAATTCCGAATTTGAGGCTTTTTCTAGTGAGATCTGTTTGACCTGTCTATCTGATAAACTGTCTATTTCAGTTTTCTATATCTTTCCTTCGACTTCCAAGACTAATATTTACAAGGTTAGCTACTTTATCCGAACAGTATCAGCATTCATATCACTTACGCTTTCATCAGGATAGACGATGGGCGCACATGCCTCAACAGCGCCTGGCGCGTAGCCAACCTGTAATGCAAGTACAGGGCATGAAATTAGCCAAAATATGGACGAGCCCACCCAAAATTTTAAACAGGCCCTTGAGACAAATTGAACAGGCCCCATAATTTTGTTCAATTTATTCCATTATTAATGAAAGTATTAGCTTTGTGTTTATTAGGCATACTCGTAGTATGTCACTGTCAGTATTTCATTGCTATCAGTAGAGTTTTACTTGTTTTACTTCTTGGTAGTCACTAGAAGTAAAAACTAGTCAGGAAATCGGTAAATATTGTTGATATAAACGCAAGATAGGTAAAATTTTGAATAGGCCAAGTGGACTGATTAGGCCAAAACAAAATATATGTGTGGTTACCGTTACATGCCGAAAACAAATAGGGTAGGTAGGTAGGGAGAACATTTTATTTTCTTGAAATATTTTATTTACAAACCATGTCCGAAGGATGTGCGTTGTGCCTTTTGAAGCAGAAACTGTCAAATTCTTTTATTTTAAAGAAAATTGACAATTAAATGTTTAGGGTCGCTGGGAATAAATAGGGTCGGTCGGCCTAAACATTTTATTGTAAATTTACTTTAAAATAAAAAATAAAAAATGAATTGGACAGTTGGACATAACGCGAGAATTTCGTCAGGCTTTGTGTGATTTCGCGTGACACAGCTCGGTTACGAACACAGACAGTATGTTTTTATAACAAGTAAAACTGTTCTTCAAATAGAAATGAAGATGGAGTAGAATGGTTGAATATTTGTGTTGTATTCGTGTGAAATCAGGCGAGCGTCGAGCGAATTTTGGCAGCACGCTTTCCTACCTGCTAGGCCTATATATTTATGTGTCACTGTCAGTGTGCAGCGACAGCAATGGCGGCAGCCAGTGTTTGTTGTAGATTAGCATTTGGACGCCATTTACAGAAAATTGTCGCCAATAATAGGTGAAAGAGAGTATAGAAACATTAAGAGTAAGACTTTGGCAGTAAATAGATTTCGTATTTATTTAGCATTATATAATATTTTATTGAAACGCTCCAAGTGCTTGTGACTGTGATTGACATTGTGAAGGAGACACGGGTTTTACTCAAAAACGCGTGTAAGGCGGTAGCTACTATCCCCATTACTATAAGAAACATACACGTGATTATACCAAGTACTCATTATAATAACAACTGTATAAATACATCGATGAACTACAATAAGACCTATATTCGAGCTGAAGAAACCTCAACAAACCTCATAAGCAACGCCATGATTTCAGGTGATATATCGCGGGTTCTCGTGGTCTCGAGCAGAACTGCGAGAACACATCACACAGGCTGGTGGCGCCATCCCACTCTCGGTGTCGAAATGTGTAATTACTAATGTTCCTAATTTTATTGTATCAAGAGCGTATAAAGAAGGGATATATTCCCTCTTACGCATTCCTTCTTTATACGCTCTTGATTGTATATTAAATAGCTCGTAATGACATTAGGAATTAAAATATTAAATGAAAAAAATATGACATACACCCTCACATATGCCTGCGCACGTGGATTTTACGTCTGCTAAACACCACATCTATTCGCAAAGTGCATAGTAAATTAATAAAAAGGGAGAAGTGACACGGCTCATGATTTGCTCAGCTACTCCGTGCACTCTGATCTAGTTTAATACCATCAGAAGTAGATAATAGGGAATTATATTCTCCTATCTTCCCTATTATCTACTTCTAATACCATAATATTATAAGAACGTTTAAATGGCTGTGCATGAACTATTTTCATTCTGTGCTCCTGGCAGTGGTGTAGCTAGGATTTTTTCAGCGGGGGGGGGGGCACTGGGGGAAGGGGGCTTACAGTTTTGTGGGGGCACAATATATAACTTTTTTTCGTATTATACTGTTCTAACGGCATTGCTTTTAATTCAATTTTTTTTTATCAAGCATGAATTTTCAGGGCACCTGGGGGGCACAGAAAATTTGTGGGGGGGGGGCACGTGCCCCCCAGGCCCCCCCGTAGCTACGCCCCTGGCTGCTGGTAGGCCTAATGTGCGTTTTCAGTTTTCATTGAAACAATTTATAGAGACATGTCCCCGCACCACCCCACTCCTCACATTCAAAAATTCTGATTCATCCCCTGTATTATCATGACAGCACGAAAGGCGAATATAATTCTGTGAGCAGTAAAGATAGACAGAAGAGAATGGTGTCAGTAAATAGGGGAAAGTGGGGTAAAATGGCCATGGCGGGTAAAATGGCCATGGCGGGTAAAATGGCCACTTGCAGTTTTGTTATCATCTGGTCCTGACACCCAATAGAGCTCCACGTTCGTCCACCTGGGTTAACCTGGGTAAGAAATCGAACGCATCTGGGTTAGGGAAGATAAACGAACGGTTTTGGGGTTAACCCGGATTAATTATCATCATGGATGCCAGTGACAAGAAAAAACGAATAGCAATTGCAATCCTATTATTCATGAAATCTAAGAATGAGATAACACGCAGTCATCGACAGTCATGCTTCATTACTGCTTGAAGAGAGCCATATGCATAGCAGACGAGACAAGTTTCCTCGGATCGAAAATTATGTTGAGGTCACCGTTCAGAGTGTTTGTTCAACATGTTTGTTACAAAGTTAAGCCAGCATGACATGGCCGTGACATGACGACTGGACATGGCCGCCCACCAATTCTATTTGAAAAGCAAGCTCTCTTGTTTCTGTGGTACTTGGGTAGGCCTACATATTTGATAATAAATGGAATTCAGGTTGAAAAACTTAAATACCCTAAACAACAGTTTAAAGCAACGTACTCGTGAAAAAATTGCATTGTTTCATTTGTACAAAAACTAGTATAAATTAAGTTCTTCTGAAGCAATTTATTCAGTTGCCTATATTGCAGGAAATTGCATTATTTCACTTAATTTCGTTCGACCTTTTTACGTGTGGCTTGCACCCAGCGGCGGAAGAAGGCTCACGGGTGCCCTAAGCACTGACCAATCTTGTGCCCCCTCCTTTTCACACTGACCCAGTCCATTTTAGTTGTTGACCTGTCTGACCAGATATACAATGCAGGTTGCAATAGTAGAAAAATTTATTCATATAACACAATATACTGTACAAACTAAGCCAAGCTTGGGCTACATAAAGTTCTACAAAAATGCAATACAACATCTATTTTAAGATTTCACAAGTTAAATGTATTAAAGTTCCAATATTCATGACCTGAAAGGCATTTTTCTACATTTCATTTTCGCAAAATCACTGATAACATCCTTGAAAGTAATACCTCTCAGAATATCTGTTTTAATTGTTAATATACACAGTGAGTCGAGTCTTTCTTGAAGCATAACTGATCTATTTGGTTTTTTTACACATTTCAGTTGTGAGAAAGACCTCTCTGTTGTGCAGTTGGCAGGCCCGTAACCAGGGGGGGGGGGGTTCGAGCCAAAAAAAATGGTGCAAGAATTTCACCTCAGGTATGCACCAGATCGCTCCATTTTAGTGTAATAATTGCAAAATCTCCCACACCCTCCCCCTGCTCGGTTACTTCGCGCCCTCACAAATTGCCAACATTTACAAACGACCCCCCCCCCAATATAAAGCTGGCTACGGGCCTGCAGTTGGTGACCATTAATGTTAAAAATATTCTTAAGGCAATTTCAACATTTGGAAAGGCACTCTCTAGTTTGTCTTCTGTAATTGTGTTGTAAAGTTCTATGTGAGTGAAAGATGTTTTCGTGGTTGTTTTAAACTTATGAAGAACATATGAATGGAACTGCTGAAGCTCTGTAGACAAAGTATTGTTCATGCCAGCAGTGCCCCTTGTGGTACACCTGGGAAGTACAAATCTTTATTCGTTTTTTTTTCTTTTTACCCTTTTCCCAACTTTGTGGTGCCTCCTTTGGCCCTGGTGCCCTAAGCACGTGCTTAGTCTGCTTAATGGTTAATCCGGCACTGCTTGCACCCCACGATGGGGGTACAGGGGGTACTCCGGGTCTTCCGCCTCCCCCATCCTGCCACCTCCCTCCCCCAATCCTCCCACCTCCCTCCCTGTTATGTATTGACGAAGAGTGATGTAACTCATAAAGGTATTTCATTGCTGGAGCTGATACATGTTCTGCTTAGCAAGCACACGAACTGGCGAACAAGAGAGCGCGATATCCATCCGCGTTGACCTAACAATAAGGTACTAGATTATATAACGTGCATGCGCATAGTAAGTAGTCCATACTATTACATCCCCCTTATCAAAGAAACGTTTAACAAAAAATAGCATGCATTAACATAATTGAATAATTGAAGTATTGGAATCGTTGAAAATCGTTTCTCCTAATTCTTATACTTTCTGTTTATCCTTTATTATAATCAAGAATACTGTACTGTTACTCATAATAAGGATCATCACTGCTTGTGACGCAATACAGTCAAGTCATGTACTGTCTATAATATGCAATAAACTTAACGTCGATACTGTTCCATCCATTATCACCCGTCATAACTACTCGTATCACGGAGGTTTCTTTACCTCTCTACCGGAACGCGTTTTATATAAATTTGGTTGGGTGTGTTCACGTGAATTATTAACACTATTGCGATCAGGAGGCTTCGCTTCCGTCGACGACATCAGCGGCTGTGCAGCTGGGGTTTGCGACTCTCCATAGACATCGTTGGTCGTGGGGTCGATCCCGGTGTTGGCGACGTCCGTGGCGTGCTCACGCATCATCACAAGAGGGTGTGCAAACCTCACTTGCTTTTTTTGCGGTCACAGGATCTGCCGTCTCTCGAATGTGTACGCGATTTCTCCTGAGTGTCTTCCCATTAGGGGTTTCTATAATGAAGGACCTCGGCTCGCTACACTTCGAAACAATGATGGCGGGATGCCAGCAACTAGTCTTATGATCCTGCACACTCACTGCTTGTCCAAACATAAGAGGTGGCAGGTCAT